GGGAGAGTTGGTGAGAGGGGCTGTCGGGGCAGGGACCGCGAGGACGGGACCCTGAGCGACTGCACCCTCAGCGGGTGCCGCGACACTACTCCACCCCACCCACACCCTCTCTCCTTCTCACTCACAGGGACCCAGGGCACATCCCTCCCCTTCCCCCCCAAGAAGAGATGAGCCAGGGTCGTGGCTGAGTCAGGACCCCCATCCCCCAACCCCAAGTGCACCCGGGAGCAATCACAGGGTGTGGGCTGGGAGTGCAGGACCCAAGGGGTTAGGGGCAGAAATCCCTCCTTCCTGGGGTGGGGGCAGGGCAGCCTTGTCACTTACTAATGAGACAGAACAGCCCTGGCAGCTAAAGTCTTAGGAGCTGGGACCAACCTGCCTTGACTCTTCCTTTGTCTCTCTTTCTTGACTCTCCTTCTGTCTCTGCTAGCAGTCTCTCAGCCTCTCCACCTGCAAGATGGTGAGTCCCCTGCGGTCCTTACCCCCAAAATCCCAAGTTCCTAGACAGAGGGAGAGTCCAAAGGGCAGCACCTGGCCGCTAGTGGCATAACCCTAGGGACTGCTCTGTGCAGACAGCTCCACACCCCACACCCTCACCTCGTGTACCAGCCCCTCCATCTCTCCCCCATCCTCCCTGGGAGGTGGGCACTGTTAGGCCCCCTCATAGACAGTCATCTCACCACATTGCTGAGCACCTACTATGCATCCACCACTATCCTAGATATGGAGACAGAGCAGTGAACCCACAATGCGGAACCCAGGAGCTCGCCCTCTAGGAGAGGGCATGAAGCTGAGTCTAGCCGGTAACTGGGAGTCAAGCCCAGAGCTGAGGCCCAGCTGTCCTGCTGCAGCCCACTGTCTCCCAACCACTGAGCGATTCTCTCAGTCCAAGCTTCATCGGTACCCTGAGTGGGAGAGGGAAGGCACCAGGCAACCTCAGTGCCCAAAAAGACTCACAGTTGGCCCAAGTGGCCCAGCCTGGACCCTGGAGGACAGGCCAACTGCCAAGCCTGTCCAGACCTGAGAACTACAGAGAATAAGTGTCCCCACCTACGCTTACACCGAACCTCCTAGCAGCCCTGTTTGAGTCTGCCACACTCAGAGAGGGGCAGAGGGTGTTAGCTTCCTCCCAAAGGAAGCATTTCCACTATTCAGATGTCTAAAAAGACAGGCCCCAGACTTTCCCCTCTCAACGCCTAGCACAGGGCCGGCTGCACAGTAGGTCTTCAAGGCCTGCTTGGGCATGACAAATTGCATGCCTCTCTAGGTGTCAGCAAGACTCCATTGTGGGAGATGGGCCACTGAGACCCAGAGAAAGTGAGCGGCCCAGGAGCAATTGCCGGAGTCATTCACTCGTACATTGTTCAGCTAGCAAACACTGACTGAGCAGTTACTGTGTGCCAGGATCATTTCAGGTGCTGGGGCTGCCTCAACGAAGCAAACACAAAAATCCCTGCACCATGAACCCAGTGAGGGCAGGCTCCAGTGTGGGGTGGAGGATAAGTGGTCCAGCCAGTAAGGCGATGCTTCCTGCCTCCTCTGGGGTATGTCACACAACAGTTGACAAAGCACTCCCATCCACACATCCCACTGACAAACCTTTACCGCCCCTTCCCCAGCCCATCTTCTTCCCCTCCTGTTCCTTTGGACACTGTCTGTCTTGAGATCACCCAGGTTGGGGGGGAGCATACAACATTGCGTGATTTAGTGTGCATCGTTGCCCACCCTACCCAAGACCCATCACTTCTGCTCTCCTCAGCTCTCGCTGGATCCACTGGGTCCCAAGTGGGATTGCCCCCTGGGCTCCAAGGACCTGGAAGAAGAGGAGAGCCCAGGGGGAGGGGGCTCCGACCTCCCACCCACAGGCTGCTTTCCTGGCTCCTGGCGCCAGGATGTGGGCCTGGACTGCAAAGGCTCCCCTGAAGGGGCTGCGGCCCGGGCCTGGACTGTCTACTACTACAGCCTCCTGCAGAGTTGTCTGCAGCAAGCTGGCCTCCCGGAGACCCAGGACCGCAGCCAGGTGCCCCGTACAGGTGCCAAGGGCTTCATGGAGGGTACCCTGGGGGGCAGGGAGGGGACCTCAGCCCAGTCTGCTTTCCCCATTCAAGTGGAGGTGGGCCCCTTCTGCAGCCTCTGGGTTGTTTTGAAGGCAGGGAGGCAACACCAGTCATCTCTAGATGGGCAGGGATTATTTCTAAGTGAAGTACCAGTGAAGTCAGAGGTTAGGGCTCTCCTCCTTCCCACCCTCCCCTAAAAGATTCAGCCCTGGGGTTTGCAAACCATGTTCTACAGGGCTGAAGCTTCTGGAGAAGCATCTTGGGAGCTGTTGAGGAGATTGCTGAGCAGTTGGGACCCGAGACTCCTCCCCTGTCTTATCTGTTTTCTGTATCAGGTGGCCACAAAAGACTTTCTGAGGACAGAGGGTTCATAGCTAAGAATACATGAGAGTCACAGACTTGGTTGCATTATACAGACAGGGGAACCGAGGCTCAGAGAAACTGTCTCCACACAGCAAGTCGGAGCTCAGGCTAGAACTCAGGTCTCTGGTCACCCAGTCTGCATAGCCTTCTGGACTAGCTGCAGAGAGAAGGGAGCCAACTTCACAGTGCAGGATGGGTGGGTGACTCTCTCTTCCCTCTCCAGCTCCCTCTCCATCCCCTGTACTCATTTGAGCCCCAGGAAAGAGCTGGATATGCAAGGTTGAGGGTAGGAATGGGGATGGAAAAAGTGGGCAGAAAGATGGCAAGGGGAGCCCCTGGTGAGCTCGGCCATGTTCTTTTCCCCTGAGGCTGCCCTGGGGCAGAAGTGACCTTGTGCATCCTGGGATCCCCCAGCACCTTTCTGTCCGTGCTGCTGGAGGGCGGCGTCCAGAGTCCCGGTGAGTGTGTGCTCAAGTTCCTCCACCCACTTCTACAGAAAAGGCAGCCCTGCCCAGGCCCAGCCACATCTTAAAATACCCACCAACCCTGGCAACTGCCTGCATTCCATTGGACCAGCTGCCATCCTGCGTGGGGTGGGGGGGGGATCTGGAAGTCACTGCCCCCCATGATGCAGGGCCCAGGGAGGGCACAGGGGCATTGAGACTTCCCTGGCCAGCAACCTGCCTCCCTCTGCCCACAGGAAACATGCTCCTTTGCCTGTCACCTGCTTGGCTGACGAAGGTGCCAGCACCCGGGCAACCGGGTGAGGCAGCCCTGCTGGTCTCCAAGGCCGTGAGCTTCCATCCGGGGGGCCTGACATTCCTGGATGACTTTGTACCCCCACGCCGTGCCACCTACTTCTTGGCAGGCCTAGGGCTGGGGCCTGGCCAAGGCCGGGAGGCAGCAGAGCTTGCCCGTGACCTGACCTGCCCCACAGGAGCTTCGGCTGAGCTGGCCCGGCTGCTAGAGGACCGGCTGCTGACACGGCGGTTGCTGGCCCAGCAAGGCGGTGCGGCTGTGCCAGCTACCCTAGCTTTCACCTACAAGCCGCCAGGGTTGCTTCAGGGAGGGGATGCCAGCCCGGGACTACGGCTGGTGGAGCTGAGTGGCAAAGAGGGCCAGGAAACACTGGTGAAAGAGGAAGTAGGGGCCTTTCTGCACTCCGAGGCCCTGGGTGATGCCCTTCAGGTAACAGGCACTAGCCCACCCTAAGGTCTGTGCAGATGCCACCTGGATGGGACCCATGCCTGGTTACCAAGTCCTGCTGGGAGGTTGTCCCCAGCTTTTGGCCCTGCCACCGTCCCTCCTCTCTGAAGAAATCCCCTTCCTCCTTATCTCAGTTTACTCATTGGCTTCTGTGGGATGGGGATCCCACCTGTAGGTACATGGTATGGTATTGAGGTGGTCCCTTTCCCCTCCACGCTGCAGGTGGCTGTGAAGCTCAGTGGCTGGCGATGGCGGGGGTGGCAGACATTGCACCTGCACCCACGGAGGGAGCTGGACACAGTGGTGGACACAGTGCTGGCCTTGCTGGAGAAGCTGGAGGAGGAGGAGAGCATCCTGGTAGAGGCTGTGTGCCCACCTCCCCAGCTGCCTTTTCCAGGTGAAAGTCACCTGGGCTGATCAGGGCTAGGACCTGGGCATGGCTTTCTAGCTGCTCTGTGTTGGGCTTAGGTGGTCTTCATCTTTCCCCAGGTGGTCCCTCTCCTGGCCCCGAACTGGCTATGCGTATCTGTGCCGTGGTGTGTCGGACACAAGGTGACAGGGTTGCTTCAGGGAGGGGATGCCATCCCGGGACTACGGCTGGTGGAGCTGAGTGGCAAAGAGGGCCAGGAAACACTGGTGAAAGAGGAAGTAGGGGCCTTTCTGCACTCCGAGGCCCTGGGTGATGCCCTTCAGGTAACAGGCACTAGCCCACCCTAAGGTCTGTGCAGATGCCACCTGGATGGGACCCATGCCTGGTTACCAAGTCCTGCTGGGAGGTTGTCCCCAGCTTTTGGCCCTGCCACCGTCCCTCCTCTCTGAAGAAATCCCCTTCCTCCTTATCTCAGTTTACTCATTGGCTTCTGTGGGATGGGGATCCCACCTGTAGGTACATGGTATGGTATTGAGGTGGTCCCTTTCCCCTCCACGCTGCAGGTGGCTGTGAAGCTCAGTGGCTGGCGATGGCGGGGGTGGCAGACATTGCACCTGCACCCACGGAGGGAGCTGGACACAGTGGTGGACACAGTGCTGGCCTTGCTGGAGAAGCTGGAGGAGGAGGAGAGCATCCTGGTAGAGGCTGTGTGCCCACCTCCCCAGCTGCCTTTTCCAGGTGAAAGTCACCTGGGCTGATCAGGGCTAGGACCTGGGCATGGCTTTCTAGCTGCTCTGTGTTGGGCTTAGGTGGTCTTCATCTTTCCCCAGGTGGTCCCTCTCCTGGCCCCGAACTGGCTATGCGTATCTGTGCCGTGGTGTGTCGGACACAAGGTGACAGGCCTCTGCTGAGCAAGGTGAGTGTGGCCCAGGTCCAGGTCATGACCCTGCCCATGGCACATCAGCTCAGCACCACCCATATGAGGAGGATCCCTGAGCAGGCTCTGGGCAGAGAGGCCAAGTCTCAGAGGCAGCTCCAGGTTAGAGTATTCCTGGGCCTCACACTTCTCCCTTCTCTCCACCCTCCGGAAACCCTCCCACATCAGGAGCCCTTGCCCCTGCCCCTGTGCTCTGCCTCATACTGGAGAGCAGGGGGTTCAAACCCCTTCCCAGGGAACCCCACAAGAGGCTGATTCAGGGTCCTTGATAAATTTCCAGTGCCTGCAGCCTGTTAGGAAGAGCCCAGGAAGGCTTGGAGACCCTCCTGGGGACACAGCTCTGGGCCAAGCTTAGATAGAGATTCAATCCTTCCCTTAGGGAGGTCCAGTGGAGGAGAGAAACTTCCAGGGGAGATGCTAGGACTGGGCCACCCCTGGGTGGCACAGGCCCCCCAGAGTCTCAGGAACTAGGAGCTAGCATCCTTGGGGCCCTCTGGGCCTGGAAGCCTGGGTTGAATCCGTAGAGGGTACCAGGTCTGTGGTAGGGGAGGGTAGTTTGTGCAGTTTAAGTCGCATTGGAGTATGGAGCTGCTTGAATGCTCAGGAGGGGTCTGGCCAGGATGGTGGCACAAAGAGAGGTTTGTGGGAGTAGAGAGACGCGGGGGATCCTCCTGGGCCAGCCCCCTGAGCCACACCCTGCCCAGGTGGTGTGCGGTGTGGGTCGCAGAGACCGGCCTCTTCGGCACCAGAGCTCCCTGCCGAGGACGCTGGAGGTGGCGCTGGCCCAGTGTGGCTTGCGTGAGGCGGCGCAGGTGGGGGTCGTGCGGCAGCGCGTCAAGGCGGCGGCCGAGGCCCGGCTGGCCGCGGTACTGGCCCTGGAGGCCGGCCTGAGCGCCGAGCAGCGCGGCGGGCGCCAGGCCCGCATTGACTTCCTCGGTGAGTTCGGGAGAACAGGGCCGGGCGCCAGGGGTCGTGGGCTCAGGGCCGCCCACACTGAGTCCATATCCCGGGTCCGGCCCAGGTGTGGACTTCGCACTGTCGGTGGTGGACCGAGCGCTGACGCCGGTGGCTCTGGAGCTGAACAGTGGCCTGTGCTTGGAGGCGTGCGGCGCATTTGAAGGGCTGTGGGCCGCGCCGCGTCTGGGCGAGGAGGCGGCGGCCGCGCCGTTGGTGGAGACCATGCTCCGGCGCTCGGCGCGATGCCTCATGGAGGGCAAACAGATATTGCTGGTCGGCGCCGGCGGTGTCAGCAAAAAGTTCGTGTGGGAGGCGGCGCGCGACTACGGGCTCAAGGTAGGCGGGGCCCGGGGCGGGGTCGGGCCGCAAGTCCAGGCCTGAGTGGTGGAGGAGGGACCGCGGGGCGGGGCCTGGAGCGGGGTGGGGCTTCGAGGCGGGGCTAGAAGCGTAGTGGAGGGGGCCGTCGCTGCGCGTCCGCCAAAGCCCAGGTGTAAGGGCGTAGCCCGCCGCCCGTCTGGGTTAGAGAGCTAAGCTCTTCTGCCCTTGCTAGGTATGAGAGGCCCCACGGGAACGGCACGAGCCCCTCACGAAAAGACGATGAGCCCGAGGTTGATAAACTGGAGATGGAGGGGGACAAGGGTGGCACTCACAGCGCCAGAGCCGGACTTGCATACCAGATTAAGGAGCCTGGCTTAGTTCTGGGAAAAGGGTAGGGTTTTTGAGGTTGAATTTCTGACACTTGGCACTCAGAGCCCGCGGAAGGTGCTGGGGAGCGGCTTACAAATCAAGTTCACAAGTAGTGTACTCTCATTACAGAATGTGGAGTGAGCCTAGCAGGTAGACATTCTTCTTCTTCTTCTTTTTTTAAAGAATTATTTTAAAATTTAACTTTATTTATTTATTTTTAAATTCAATTTTAGTGGAGAGGGAGTGAGAGTGAGAGAGAAGGAAAGTAAGAAAGCAAACTGTTAGGTCCAGGACTTGAACCATGGTTGACCATGTGAGAGTCCAGTGCCTTTAACCACCATGCCACTTGTCGGGCCCCCCTCTTTTTTTTTTTTAAGAATCATTTAATTTAACTTTATTTATTTATTTTAATTTGACTAGAGAGGGACAGTGAGAAAGTGAGAGAAAAAAAAGTGAGAAAGCAAGCCTCCAGGTCCAGGACTCGAACCATGGTTGGTCATGTGGGAGTCTAGTGTCCTAAACCATCATGCCACCTGCTGGCCCCAGGTAGACATTCCCATTGAACAGATAAGAAAACAGAGGCTTTCTCAGGTTAGCCCTAATCTACCACGGTGACCTCCTTACGGCCTCTCCCACAGTGCAACATCCCCTGAAGAATGCCACCTAGAACATCCCCCTTCCTCTTTGCTCCCTGCCTTGCACAGTGTGTCCTGCAGCTGAATGTCACTCTGCTACTGATGCCAAATGTTATGGTGCAGCCATCTCTCCCTCATCAGTGGCTGCCTCTGCCCTGGGTATCAGCTGCTTGTGTCTGTCTTTCCCCAGAAGGCAGGAGCTTGGGGACAAGGGGCCCCACTGGATTCCTCCATGGGCACCTCTCAGTGTTAGAACACGTGGACTGAACAATGACCAAACCACCTGTCCCAACCCTGGTGGCTTCTTTACAAGCCTTGGCCAGTGAGGCTGCCTGTGGGAATGAGCCCACCAATCCCTCTCACCCTCCCCTCTGCATTCCAGTCTCTGCCCACCCAGATCATGCCCTTCCCCTCTTGCAGCTGTCTTTCCTAGCTTCCTCTTTCCTCTGGCCAACTCTTTAATTTTTTGGTCTATTGATCCATTTCTTCCAAGACTGAGTAGAACAATGAGACACAGAGACAGGGAGAGAGAGAGAGCAGCCTCCAGCAGGATCCTGGTGCCACAGTCCATCCCTGGCTTCAGCCAGGCCTAGATCATGGATACTCATGTGCCTGGCATACTCAGGGAGGTCTCTGGATGCAAACCCAAAACCTGCCATGCGGGTCAGCCTCACAGTGTTGCATTTTACACTGTGCCACCACCAAGCCCCTCCTCTGAAAGATTCTTATTCTTTGGCCCCAACTTAAGCCTTGCCTTCTCTAGGATGCCTTCCTTCCTGTCTATACTGCATTAGTTGCCCCCCCCCCTTCCATTTAGTCAATTACCAACAAATATCGAGAGTCTGGAGTTTGTGAATTGTTTTCTCTGAGGGCCAGGATCACATCCTGGGCCCCATCGTATCTCCCCAGAGCCCAGCACTGGCTGACCTGGGTATACTGCCTTCCTGTGGTTTCTACAGCTGCACTTGGTGGAGTCAGACCCCAACCACTTCGCATCCCAGTTGGTACAGACCTTCATCCACTTTGATGTGACGGAGCACCGGAGGGATGAGGAGAACGCACGGCTGCTGGCAGAGTTGGTACGAGCACGTGGCCTGCAGCTCGATGGCTGCTTCTCCTACTGGGATGACTGCCTGGTGCTCACAGCTCTGCTCTGCCAGGAGCTGGGTCTGCCTTGCAGCCCCCCGGCTGCTATGCGTCTGGCCAAGCAGAAGAGCCGCACCCAGCTACACTTGTTGCGCTGCCGCGGCCCACCCTGGCCTGCGCCCTCTCTTCATGCCGTGCCCTGCTGCCCACTGGAGAGCGAAGCTGACGTGGAGAGGGCTGTCCATCAGATACCCCTGCCAGGTGTCATGAAGCTGGAGTTCGGGGCAGGTGCAGTGGGTGTGCGACTGGTGGAGGATGCGTCACAGTGCCATGAACACTTTTCTCGAATTGCCCGTGACTTGCAGGGTGAGGCTGACCACCCGGGCATTGGACTGGGCTGGGGTAATGCCATGTTGTTGATGGAGTTTGTGGAGGGCACTGAGCACGACGTGGACTTGGTGTTGTTTGGTGGGCGGCTGCTAGCTGCCTTTGTCTCTGACAATGGTCCTACAAGGCTGCCTGGTTTCACTGAGACAGCAGCCTGCATGCCTACTGGGCTGGCGCCAGAGCAGGAGGCACAGATGGTGCAGGCAGCTTTCCGCTGCTGCTTGGGCTGTGGTCTGCTTGATGGGGTTTTCAATGTGGAGCTCAAGCTGACCGGTGCCGGGCCTCGGCTCATTGAAATCAACCCCCGCATGGGTGGCTTCTATCTGCGTGACTGGATTCTGGAGCTCTATGGCGTGGACCTGCTGTTGGCTGCTGCTATGGTGGCCTGTGGCCTGCGGCCTGCCCTGCCCACCCACCCACGTGCCCGTGGTCACCTGGTGGGCATCATGTGCCTGGTGTCTCAGCACCTGCAAGCACTAAGTTCCACTGCCAGTCATGAGACCCTGCAAGCCATGCATGACCAGGGCCTACTGCGCCTTAATCTGCTAGAGGAAGCCCTGGTGCCTGGCGAGTATGAGGAGCCCTATTGTAGTGTGGCCTGTGCTGGGCCCAGCCCCGCTGAGGCCCGCCACCGCCTGCTGGGCCTCTGCCAGGGCCTGGGCATTGATGGACCCAACTATCCTGTTGCTCACTTCCTGTCTCACTTCAAATAGCACTGGAGTTAGGGAGCAGGAACCATGTGCTGGGGGAGGGGCTTGGTACCCTCTGCTTCCTCATGCTCTTCCTGCCTTTCTCCCTATAGCCCTGCCCCGATAGCCTGGCCCACTCCAGTGCCTCAGGTCTGCTTCAGAATGGCAGGGCTGTTTTGACACCAAAGTTCTCTGGGCTCAAGGGCTACCAAAGCAACTATGTTGGCCCTCACAAAGGCCAACACCTGCCCCTGGATTCTAACCTTGGAGAAAGTACAATAGCTGTATACACAGACTGCCACTATTCTCCTCTCGCCCCCCGGGTGGGAGTGGGTTCCAACCCAGCCGTTGCCCCCACCCCACCAGGTCTGGATCTCTTCCTGCCACCTACACGAAGAGAGTACCTGGCTAGGCCCCTGGCCTTGGACAAATCCCAGAGAAACCTGAGACTAAAGCCCCTGTCTTCCTCTTACCTCAATTCCAGGATGGTTTTAAAGCCTGCTAAAAACTTTTGGCCTACTGGCCCTACTTGCCTCATTTGGCCTGAGCAAAAGAAGCAGGTGCCCTGTGGTCAGCAGTAATCATCTCCCCTCACACCTAGGCAGACACTACTGCTCCCATTCTATAGAAGAGGAAACAGACAGCCGGGAAAAATGAATGCCCCAAGAGCATACCAGTGGAAGGAGGGCTGTGGAACATGGTGCAAAATACAAGTTTCTGCTTTTAAGTCTTACACGCTCTCTCAGCTTCTAGGACCCCTCACCTCTCTGCCCTTATTCTTAAGTGGCCCCGAGACATGTGAATACCTTCCTTCCATGCATCACGCACCTTCTTCACCAAGCTTCTGGTACTCTGCTATCTGGCACTTCTAACTAGCATGGGCAGAGCAGAGTCTACCCTGTTTCATAATTTAGGGAAGGCTGCTTTAAGAACTCCTGCCTCTGCACAGCAAGGGAGCTCTGGACAGCTCCCCAAATATCCCTTCCAAATAAAGTTTTATGGACTAGTCAAGTGTCTGGAGTCTGGGACAGGTTTTCTAGACTGGACAACTCCTCGGGATCAGCTAGATGGGGGTGGGGCCCACAACAGGGCCCAAACCTAGGGTCTTCTCTGGTGGAATTGCAACTGGAGGGCCACATCCAACCATATAACCTGGACGATCCTAAGTTCTGTTCATCTGAATTCATACCCAGCATCCTCTGTGCAACTGGAATGCACATCCGGACAGCCTCCAACAATCAGAACTCACACCTGGTCTAGCCCAAATTCACCCCCACAGAGCTACAGCCAACAAAAATCCATGCCCGATCTAAAGTCACAGACCAAGTTTGGTGTGTTCATTTGTTCATTCTTTCAAAATAGTTTTATTTATTTGTTTTAAAGAATTATTTCATTTATTTTATGTATTATTATTGTTACTTTCACTTTGACCAGAGCGAGACACAGAGAGAAAGCCAGAAAGGAAGCTGCCAGCTCCAGGAATTGAACCATGGTCAACCATGTGGGAGTCTAGCGCCCCCAACCACCAGGCACCTGCAAGCCCCATCAACAAAGTTTTAAGTGCCTGTTCTGTACCTGGCAGCCAAATTACCAAATGTGCCTAAATAGATAATGGAGCAAACTCTAGTGAAAGAGCATATTTATAGGTGGATCATTAATCCTCAAATCCCTTAGGGAAGGAACGAAGCCCGGCAGAGTAAAAGCTCTACCTGCAGGATCCTTGAGCCAGAGGCACGTTAGGGAAACCTTGATGCAGCCTCTCCCTTTCCATGCGAACAGAGAGGCACACCACCTGCCTCTTGCCACCCAGCCAGCCTAGCAGCGCACGACTACAATAGGGCTGGGGATTGTACTTACACACAACACCTGCATGAATTTCCGTCTCTTCCTCGTCTACATTTAAACTCTCCCCAGGACAAAAACAGGCGCCTTCCACGCTGCTCCTGGCCGGTGCCCACCCCGCTGCCAGTGCTGGGAAGACTGGGTCTCTCAGAAGTGGACTCAGGCTGAAGGCGCCCGCCACTCTGGGACTACAACCCCCGAGAAGCCCCGCGGCGGAAGCCATCTTTCCCCCTGCCAGAGTCTAAGCTGTTGGCGAGAGGGACAGCGAAGCCACTTGCGTCATCGGAGCGCGCGGCCGCCGCAGCGGAATGATTACGGGCAAGCCCCGACGGGACTGTCAGTCAGAGCGCGGCCAAGTTCGGGCCGGGGGGCCCGTGGGGCCGACGCGGCCATGGCGGCCGTGTTTGATCTGGACTTAGAGACGGAGGAAGGCAGTGAAGGCGAGGGCGACCCGGAGTTCAGCCCCGCGGTGAGTGCTCCGCCCGGCGCGTCTGGATTCAGGAGCCGATCCTACCATCCAGCCCAAGCTGGGGATGCGGCTCCCATGACCCATTGGGCTCCGACCCTGCAGACCCCGATCCTTCTTAGATCCTACTCCCTATTACCCGCTGACCTTCACCCCGAACTCTCTTCGTGATGACCTCTAGCCCTTTTCTGCCCTCGGCTTCTCCCCAGATCTTGCCCATCCCCTGCTAGCTTCCATCTCTGACCCACTCCTCCAGACCAGCTTGGGAGGGAGAGGGAAGTATCCTGGCACCTCCCTTGGCTCTTATCCCTCGGTTTCTCACAGGACGTGTGTCCCCTTGCTGATTTGAGGGCGGCTGGCCTGGAGTGAGTGAGGGTCGTTTTGGGGGTGGGGTCGGGATGGAGAGGGAAGGGGACTTGTGGAGCACTGGGGCTTGGCCCCTACTAACTGAGTATGTCCATAGGCCTCTGGGACACTATGAGGAGGTGGAGCTGACGGAGACCAGCGTGAACCTCGGCCCTGAGCGCATTGGACCTCACTGCTTTGAGCTGCTGCGTGTGCTGGGCAAGGGAGGCTATGGCAAGGTACTGGCACTCACCATTCCACAGCCTCTTTTGAGACAGCAAAGGGTTCTCCAAACAACTTAGACTTGTAAGTCAGCAGAGTCTCTGATAGTGTTCAAAGCTACAAACAAAGGAGGGAAGGGCAGATCCTCACAAAATCACATTTTAAATCTTTACTGCCCCACCCATGGGTGGGCCTGGGCTTTTGGTTCCTATGTCAGCACTTCAGGGTGGGGCTTCTTAAAGATAGGATGTGGAGAGGGAAGTTGATCCTGTCTCCCCTGCCCTACAGGTGTTCCAGGTGCGAAAGGTGCAAGGCACCAACCTGGGCAAAATATATGCCATGAAAGTCCTGAGGAAGGTGAGTCATTTGTTTTAGCCAACAAATTCTGAGGGACCGGCATTCCCAGTGCACTATGCCAGGCCTGGGGAAGTCAGCAGTGAACACGTGAAGGAGACAGTCTCTGTCTTTGCCATTTACTAGTTTATTGTGATGTACGTTGTTTGGCAGTAATCCTCAGACAGCAGCAATTTTGCCTCCCGGGGGAATATTTGACAGTGTTTGGACACCATTTTGATTGTTAAGACTAGTGAGAGGAGTTTTATCAGCATGCAGTGGGTGAAGGCCAGGGATGCTGCTAAACATTCCATATGTACGAGACAATATCTCAACACAACCAACTTCTGGTCCAAAGCGTCAGTGATGCTGAGGTTGGGAACCCCTGTGTTAGAGGAGAAACCAGATCCTGAAAAGGCTGATTGCTGACAGTAGCTAGGTTCTGGAGAAATACAGTGGAGCGACCAAAGATAGCAGGAGGGTAACATTTGGAGGGTCCAAAGGAGCTCTGGGTGCCCCCCACTTCTAACTGATTCCTGCATCTCCAGGCCAAAATCGTGCGCAATGCCAAGGACACAGCACACACGCGGGCTGAGCGGAATATTCTAGAGTCAGTGAAACACCCCTTCATTGTGGAACTGGCCTATGCCTTCCAGACTGGTGGCAAACTCTACCTCATCCTCGAGTGCCTCAGTGGTATGAGTGTGGACCCAGCCAGGGCTGTGGGCAGGGGCAGGGAGGCAGCACAGGAAGCACTGGGAGGAGGCTTGAGAGATGCGGTTATGGAGAATGACTTGGGGGGTCCCCACACCCACACCACTATCTACCCACCCACCTACCCATCCATCCATCCATCCATCTGTCTGTCCAGGCCCACCTTCATTCATTCAGCAAACGTCTGTCCAGTGCCTGCTGTACTCTTCACCTGTGTTGAGGGTGGATGGGAAGAGGAGGAATCTGTATAGAAGTTCAGAGGTGGTTCTGTCTGTTTCTACTCCGTCTTCACACCCTGCTCCTCTCCTCATGTGCCCCCACATCTGGTCAGGTCCCAAATCCCTCAGTTCCCTCTCTGCAGTGTCCATCATCCTCTCTGCTGTCTTGGGGGAGGAGTCACCACTGTGTCTTACTTGGGCCCGAGGCCTCCAGCTCACCAGCACTCTAGTGTCTCCCCACTAAGTGCCAGAGCCAGGGTTGTTCCCAACATTTCTACCCAGAATTCCATAACACACTATAAAGGATAAAGCTCGCTATCCCCTTCACCATGAAGTGGTCCAGGCCTGCTTCTCCATCTACCTGATCAGCTCTGGATGAGCCCTGTAAGCCCTACATTCCCTCCCCTCCATCCCAGCATCCCCCTAAAGTACCACCCCCACCACACTTCTCTGTTATGTTGGGATGAATCTTGTCCTCCCTGTCTCCCCTGTGAGGTTTTTCTGGCTGAGCTGTCAGAGCTGTTGCCTCAGCCTGACAAAGTAGAGCAGTTGTGTGCATGTCTGTCTCCCCATTAGACTGAGCGTCCTGAGGGCAATGGCTGGGTCTCTTCATCTCTGTCCCCAGCTTCACCCAGCACAGGGCCAGGCACCGAGTAGGCGTCGGTAGATGTTTGCTGAATTGAATTGAATCCCCACGGCAGCTCTGTGAGGCAGGTAGGGCGGGAATTATAAGCCCCACTTTCCCTAAGAAGAAGATAAGACTCAGAGAGAACAGAGGGGCGTGGTCCCAGCATGCAGCTGCTGATGTGTTTGTGTCGCAGGTGGTGAGCTCTTCACACATCTGGAGCGAGAAGGCATCTTCCTGGAAGACACGGCCTGGTGGGTGTTACTTCTGTCCCTCTCTCGATGAGTGTCTGGCCCCATCTCCCACCCTGTCTTCACCCTGTTCTATCTCTGCAGCTTCTACCTAGCTGAGATCACACTGGCCCTGGGCCATCTCCACTCCCAAGGCATCATCTACCGAGACCTCAAACCTGAGAACATCATGCTCAACAGCCAGGGTACGTGCGTGTGCAAAGCATGTGGGAGCTGCTGCGTAATCCGGGTCTGCAGCCTCCAGGGAGGGCTAAGGAGTGCCATAGGGAGGGCTGAGCCCAATACAACCTTCCACCTTCTGCCCCAGGCCACATCAAACTGACAGACTTCGGGCTCTGCAAGGAGTCCATCCACGAGGGTGCTGTCACTCACACCTTCTGCGGCACCATTGAGTACATGTAAGTGGTGTCTGGCTGACCCTGGGGTCAGAGGACGGCCAGAAAGGCCTGGTCTGACTGACAGTTCCATCTGGCCCCCAGGGCTCCTGAGATTCTGGTGCGCAGTGGCCACAACCGGGCGGTGGACTGGTGGAGTTTGGGGGCCCTGATGTACGACATGCTCACTGGATCGGCAAGTCCAGCCTCTGGGGAGGCGGGGATGGAGTGGAGGAGGTTCCTCTCCTGGGCAGGGGAGGGGCCTGGTGAGAGGCCCACAGGCTCCTCTCACCTTCTGCCTCCTCCAGCCACCCTTTACTGCAGAGAACCGGAAGAAAACCATGGATAAGATTATCAAGGGAAAGCTGGTGCTGCCCCCCTACCTCACGCCAGATGCCCGGGATCTAGTCAAAAAGGTGGGGCTCCCTCTTTCCCATGGCCTCTCAGATCCCCTGAGTCTTCTCCTAGGCCCCGCCAGCCACTCTGTGTGAGTTCCCGACCACCCCTGCCTGTACACGCTTGCCTCTGGGAGCAAAAAGCACACTGGCTTTGGGGCCCAGGAGTCTGAGCCCAGGCCCGAGCCCTAGTCTAAGTGCTGATCAGCAAGATGTTCAATGAGCAGCCATACTTCCAGCAGAAGGCCAGCGGCAGAGGTGGCTGGGCTGGGCATGCGGTCCACATGTGTATTTGGATCCTCACCAAAGTAGCTTGGGCTGGTGTCAACTTTTGCCTGGACTTCGTGGAAAAGGTGCCATTGGACCAGACTTTTTTTTTTTCCCTTTTTTTTTCTTTCATTTATTTATTATCTTCAATTTTTTTTTTTTTTGAGAGGTTTTTTGCTATAGGGTGCGTGCACTTGCCAGAAAGACAGAGAGAAACAGAGAGACAGTAAGCAAGAACTCACCTCCCAGGGGTGATGGCCACACCACAATCCCTTCTCCTCCATTCTCCTCTCAGGATCTTGGGCACGCACGCACACGCACCCGGTGTGAGTTTAAGCCACCGGGTCTGGGACTCGAACCGTGGTTGACTACATGGGAGTCCAGCGGTGTAGCCCTTATGCTATCTGCTGGTCCCCAATTTTTTTTTAAGTGGAGCCAGCTGGTGGCATTGAGATGGCTGGCTCCCACATGGCTGACTACATCTGGACCAGACTTTGAAAGCCCTGAGGATCTCAGTAGGTGGAGGCCATGCTTTACCTCCACCATCCTTGGGACACGGGGAGCACAGTAACAGTACCTCTCCCAGGCCCTCACCTTCTGTCTTGGTCCCCCAGTTTCTGAAGCGGAATCCCAGCCAACGGATTGGGGGTGGCCCTGCAGATGCTGCTGATGTGCAGGTGGGCCAGGGAACACCACAAGGGGGCAGGGCTGAGCCTCTAAGAGTGATGGGGCACAAGGGGCAGGGCCCAGAGCAGGGCGAGCTCTTGGCATGTTTGGGGCATTCTATCCACAGAGGCACCCTTTCTTCCGGCATATCAATTGGGATGACCTCCTGGCCCGCCGCATAGACCCCCCTTTCAGGCCCTCTCTGGTGAGTAGGGAGGTCCCATTGGCCCAGGGGCAGGAGGAGGGTCTGCATGGTGCCCTCTGAACCCTGCCCTGTTTGGTTTTACCCACAGCAGTCCGAGGAGGACGTGAGCCAGTTTGACACACGCTTCACGCGGCAGACACCAGTGGACAGTCCAGATGACACATCCCTCAGCGAGAGTGCCAATCAGGCCTTCCTGGTGAGGGCTGGGGCCCAGGGGAGGGATGTGAATAGGGAATGGCAGACACGGCATTGCTTGACGCCGCTTCCCCCGCCCAGGGCTTCACATACGTGGCGCCCTCCGTCCTGGACAGCATAAAGGAGGGCTTCTCCTTCCAACCCAAGGTGCGCTCCCCCCGACGCCTCAACAGCAGTCCCCGGACCCCCATCAGGTACCAAGGGGCAGAGAGGAGAGGGTGTCTGGGGCTGGGGACTCTAGTGGGCAGAGGCCAGCTCTAGCTTTGGACTTCACCAAGTCTCTTAACTAATGTCACCCTGTTTGCTCGCCTTCCTGGGGACCTCAGCTCCTGCATTCTGTGTGACAGGGGCTGCATGGATGTGAGTCTGTAGGCCCTGTGGCAGAAAGGACAGTCTGCTCGCCTGACCAGTGTCAACAGGCCTGGCAGGCCTACCAGGCTCTGACTCTGCCTTGGTTTCCCCTGCAGCCCCCTCAAGTTCTCCCCCTTCGAGGGGTTCCGGCCCAGCCCTGGCCCACCAGAGCCCATGGAGCCACCTCTCCCTCCACTCCTGCCACCACCGACGCCGCCACCACCTTCAAGCACTGCCCCCCTCCCCATCCGTCCTCCCTCAGGGACCAAGAAGTCCAAGAGGGGCCGTGGGCGCCCTGGGCGCTAGGAGGATGGGTAGGGAGGAGGGTAACTGTTGAGGCCCTTTCGCCACAGGCTGTGAGGGCAGCAGGGCCTGGGCTGCAACTAGAGACTTGAGGTTACTTCTGGGGCTATAGGAGTGTCTTTTTGGGGTGTGGCTGTGCCCCTGGATCATGAGCATGGAGGGCTACTGGCCACAACTGCTGGTAGATGGGCCCCGCCACCCACCTGGACTCAGCATTTGGCTGCCCTCAGAATTAAACAATTGAATCATGATACCCACCTGGCTCTTCTGGACTCCTGGGGGTGGGAGTGAGCCAGGTCGTGCCTGGAGGACCTGGTCAGGGAAGGAGGGGTCACCATAGGACCACAGAACCACGGGCCTGGACGGGTTTTATTTAATGGCTGGCTGGTGCCTGTAGGGATGCACAGTCTTGGGAACTGGTGAGGGGCAACAGTCTGAGGTGCTCTATGTGGGGTTTAGGGGGACCCCAAGTCCAGAGCAGGCTGTGTCCAGAGAAGCAGAGGCACATGAGTGGCCGTGGCGGGAGCGGGCCATTGAGGTTTGCCCCTATAGTGCGGTGACATGGAGGCCCTGGCCCCCAGCTGCCTTGGAGCTATCGTCCCAGGCCGCACTGCCCGCAAAGGCATGCAGGCCACTCAGCAGGGCTTCAGCACTGCCCCCAGAGCCTGCTGGCCCCTGGGAGCCGAGGCCTAGGCCCCCTTCGATGTCACCGTCAGGGGCTTCTTCAGCCTGCTCCAGGACCTGCCCTGGGCCACACCCCTCTCTGCACAGCTGCTCGTCTTCCCGGGCTTCGGCCGCTTCCAGGCCTCCGCCTGTGCAGTAGTCGTCTTCCGCATCTTGCTCATCCTCCTGCTGTTCTGGGTCATCTGATGGCCCCAGCTCAGCCTGGGCCCGAAGCCAGCGGCCTGGAGGGCTGGCCCAGAACAGGCGACGAGTGCGACCCCACAGCACAGCCCCCAGGCGAACCGGGTGGTAGTAGCCCCCTGAGTCGCGGCTGAGGCGGTGCCAGGCCAGGGCCAAGCCAGCGCCCAGCAGCAGCAGCAGCAGCAACAGAAGGACCACAATGACTGAGCTGGAGCCCACGCTGTCCTCAGTACTCCCACCGGAGCCCAGGGCCCCTGGGAGGGCCAGCAGTGCACCAAGCCCTAGGGTGCAGGGCAGAGCCTGGGGGAAAACAGGTGGGTGCTCGTCACCAGGGCCAGAGCCAGGCTGGTGACCAAAACCAAGAGTGCTCTCCTTTCCTGAGAAAGTCCTCATTGCTTCATGGGCAGATTGGGGATGGTCAAGCAGAAAAGGCTGAGTCTGTGAGATGAGCCTTAACCTCACCACCACCTCACTCCCTCCTGCTGCACTAAGCCTGCTCTGCCCGGGGGCTTTGCACTGGCTGTTCCTCTGCCTGGGATGCTCCACCCTGAGAGCCTCATGGCTGCCACGCTGACTGGGCTCGTTACTAACCCACACCCTCGATGCCCCCTTCACCTGTGTTCTCTTCCCACAACTAACACAAGAGATTGTTTAACACATCTTTTTAAGTTTATAGTTGTCTTATCTCTCACGCCAGAATAAGCTGCAGGAAAACAGGGATTTTTGAGGGATCAAGCAACTTAAAAAAAAAAAAAAAAAAAAGCCAGGCACATAAAGGTCCTCAGAAAGTTTTGA